GGTGTGTGTGTGTGTGGCCAGCTCAGCCCACCAGGGGGCGGGGCTGGCTGGCATGTGGTGCTGGGGGATTGAACCGCGGTCCCTGATGCTTTGCTGAGCTTGTTTTTTAAGTAGGTGCTTTAGACCACTGAGCCATCTCTCCAGCCCCCGATTCTGTTTTCCTAATATGTGAGTTCACAGCTACGAATTTCCCTGAGAACTGCATTCATCGTGTCCCATAAATTCTGATAAGTTGTATTTAATTTTCATTGAGTTCTAGATATTGTTGAATTTCTTGTTCAATTTCATCTGTGACCCATTTGTTGCTGTGTGGAGTGTCATTTAATTTCCATATATTGAGGTTTTTCTGGTTTCTTTTGTAATTTATTTCCAGTTTCATTGCACTGTGGTCAGATAATGTGCATGGGATAATTTCTGTTTCCTTGCATATACTTAAGCATGACCTATGGACCTGTATGTGGTCTATTTTAGAAAATGGCCCATGTGCAGCTGAGGAAATATATATATTCCTCTATGTTTGGGTAGGACACTCTGTATATGTCCACCAAGTCCATTTGTTTCAAACTCTGGTTCAGTTCTGTTATTTCTTTGCTAAAGTTTTGTATAGTTGACCTATCTTTTGGAGATAGGTGATGTTAAGGTCTCAGATTAAGATTGTGGTATCTAATAATAGATTTTTCATGTCCATTGACATTTGCTATATATCGTTGGGTGCTCCTGTGTTTGGTTCATACATATATATGAATGTTACCTCTTCTTCTTGAATTTTCCCCCTAACCAGTATATAGTGGCCTTCTTTATTTCGCTTGATCATTGTTGGTTTGAAGTTGAGACTGTCTGAGAATGGGATTACTACCCTTGCTTTTTTCTGAGGTGCTGGGGCATGTAGTATTGTTTCCCATCCTTTGATACTCAGCCTATGAATACCTTTATGAGTTAAATGCATTTCTTGTATATAGTATATTCTTGGTTTTTGTTTCCTAATCCACTGTGACACTCTATTTCTCCTAATTGGTGAATTGAATCCATTTATATTGATGGTTAGAATTGAGATGCATTGACTTACGATTGACATGTTATTTACCTGTTCTCATTTACCTTTTTCTCCTGTGTTTAATTGCTTGATTTTTACGTTGGTTGCTTCTGATCTCATTCATGTAGTTCTGATCCTTTTAGTCCCTCTCTAGAACATCTTTCAGTAGCCTGTGTAGCATTGGCTTTGTCATCATGAAATTCTTTAGTTGTTCTTTGTCATGGAAGTATTTCACTTCTCCATCAAATTTAAAAGAGAGTTTTTCAGGGTATAGTAGTCTGGGCTGGAATTTGTTTTTATAGATTACTTGGAGTCCTCTACTCCATGCTCTTCTTGCCTTCATGGTTTGCAAAGTGAAGTTGGCCATAATTCTGATGGGTTTTCCTTTGAATGTGATCTGCTTCTTTTCTCTAGAGCCTTTCAGTATATTATTCTTGTGTTGAATTTCTGGGATGATGACTATTATATGTCTCAGTGTGTTTTTCATTGGGTTGAGGTTACTTGGCATTCTGTAGGCTTCAGTTACCTGAATGTCAGATTGTTTCCTCATATGTTGGAAGTATTCTGCTATTACTTCTACCCATAATTTTTAATGTCACTTGTATTGACTCCTTCTTTCTCACTGATGCCTATTAATCTCATTGTTCATCTTTGCATCATTCTGCAGGTGATGGATTATTTTTTCCTGCATCCTAGTTGTTTTTAAGAGAACCTTTCATACCTTTTCACTAGCTGCACCAGCATCTTCAAGATTAGAGACTCTGTCTTCACTTTCACTTAAATGGTTTTGCAAGCTTGTGATTGAGATTTTAAATTCCTCTATATCTTTTTGACTCTGCTTCATGAGATCTATTTCTTACCTGTACTACTCATTTAATAAATCCATCATTTTTCTAAGTTCCTCTAATTTTTATCAATGTCTTCTTTAGGAGCAGTTATAGGAGCTGGCGAGATGGCTCAGTGGTCTGGAGCACCTACTTAGAACAAGTTTAGCCAAAGCAAAGGGACCGCGGTTCAATCCCCCAGCACCACATGCCAGCCAGGGCCGCCCCCTGGTGGGCTGAGCTGGCCACACACACACACACACACACACACACACACACACACACACACACACGGATAAGATAAAAAAAAGAAGCAGTTATAAATTGTTTTACTGCAGTGTTTTTTTTTCAGATTAGTTTTCCTCCCTATGTTTCTGTAGTTGATTCTTGACTTCAGATTCTATGAGTCAGAGAACTCCTTATTTCAGAAAGTTCTGCTCTGAGTTCCTCTGTAACTTTCTGCTCTTGCTTATTTACTATCAATGCTATTAATTCGTACATTTGAGCTGAGCTAGTAGAAAGACTTCCACTCTGAATTCCTCTTTAACTTTCTGCTGTTGATTGTTTATTATCAATGCTAGTAATTCATACATTTGAGCTGAACTAGTGTCTTCTGCACTTGTTTGTTGTGGGCATTGGGTTTCCTACATATTTTTCTGTATTTGATTCTTCTCTGCGGATGTTATTAATTCAGGTTTTTATTTTTCATTTCCAATCTGAATTCCTGTATAACTTTCTACAGCTGTTTCTTTATTTCAGAAGCCATTGATTCACTGATTTCAGCTGTGTGATTCCCCGTTCGTTCTGTGTTAGTGTCCTCTGCACTTGTTATGCTTGGGCATGGGTTCTGAGATTGCATTTTTCTCCTTCTCATTGTCATTTTGTGTAGCACTGTCTTCTGTTCTTTGTTGTATATCTTTGTTGCAGTTAAAACTTTAGCACCTACTGAAGCTCAGGTTCAGATCTACGAAGTTTGGATTTATCCAGTTGTGCCTGGCTTGGGTCTGGCTGCTGTACTCATCTCCTTCCTGCTGCTGCCCTTGCAGGTGAACCTGTTGTGCCCCTCTGGCGAGATGTTCTGCTCCTGAACTAAGTTGGTGTTTCTGTCCCCTACACTCTCTGCAGGGATTGCACCTGCAGGTTTTCACCCCAGGCATCTATGATACGCCTGAGCTGAGTCTGCAGGGGACAAGGAGTAGTAGGGGGGAGAGGCAGCTCTCCCACACACTCACTGTGCATGGGCTAGCACTGGATCTGGGGGTTCCCTGAAAGCGACAGAAATCCCTCCTCGATAAGCAGGTTGAGGTGTACTATGGAGTGTTGGGGGGCGTCCCAAGTGGGTGAAACTGGGTCTCAGCCACACTGCTCCTGGGCTGCAACCAGTCAGTCCCTCTGGTGCAGGGTAGCCAGAGGCTCTCCCTCACACTCACCTGGCCTAGGCTAGTACTGGATCTGGAGATTCCCATAATGAGGCAGTAATTAATACTGGGCAGGTAGGGTTGGGGAGGTCCTGTGGACTGGTGTGGGGCATCCCAAGAGGGTGAAAGAGGGTCTCATCCACACTGCGCCTGGTCTGGGAACAGTAGGCTCAGCCAGCACAGGGTAGCCATAAGCTCTTCCGCACACTCACAGGGTCTGGGCTAGGACTGGATCTGGGGGTTCTGGGAATGTGGCAGAAATCCCTACTGGGCTGGCGGGGTGAGGGAGGTCCTGGGGAGGGGTGTGGGGTGTTCCAAGGGGTTGAATGGGGGTGTCACCCATGCTGTACCTGGGCTGGGTCCAGTAAGTACCACTGGTACAGGATAACTGGAAGCTCTCCCACACACTCACCACAGAGATAGGACTGGTTCTCAGAAAAAAAATTCAAACGTATTTACATAAAGTTTTCATGAATGTTAAAAAGCATTAGTACTGGATATTTTAGTAATTTTGTCTCTCAATGATCCCCACAGTGTGTACTTGCCAAATGAAGTTGTAACTAGTAAAAGAGATGGCAGCCTAAAGTGAGTCATTTATGATAATTTGTATTGTATAGATTTTAAATCAATTCCAATTCAAGAATCACAAAATCTTTTGTTGTCCTTTTAGAAGTTCATAGAAATTATTTAGATTTTATAATAAATATAATTTCTAGGTGGACTCTGCCATCCTTTAGACAAAAGCAATGATCTTGTCTCATATTGATTTTTTTTTATATTAAGACTTTCTTGCGGCCAGGGAGATGGCTGAGTGGAATAAGCACTTCCTTGGAAAGTGCAAGGGCTTAAGTCCAATATCCAGTTTTGAAAAAAAAAAAAAGACTTCCTTGCTAAGTGACCATTTCTATCCTTCCTAGAGTGCTAGTGTAGAGAACATATACTTTGGCATAAAATGTTCTAACCTCTCTGATGAAACACAGATGTAATAATTTAAAGGGTACATTTAATGACATTGTCAAAAAGATGATTTACCTGCCACGGTGAAAACATCATCCCTTCTTGGTTTCCCAAGGATGGTCTTTGTGCTTGTTGGAGAAGCATCTCGTGGAGTGCATGGGCCACAGCATACACAGCGTTGTGTGTATTGTGACTCCAATCGGTCATGGCCGTGTCAAAACGATTCACAGGCAGCCATGTCATAGACGCATTAGGTGTACAGTTATTCAATGAGCAATCAGAATCAGAGAATGAGCAATGGAAATTCTGGAACCAAAACATGGTGAGATACAAGTCTTTTGGGTATTTAGAAGGGTTCGCTTCTTGGACAAAAGTTTGGAAACCAGAAATTTTTTCATGGTGGTTTGACAAAATGAAAGCCCCATGGAACGAATTAAATATGAAATTTTTCCCAGTCATGTCAGCATGCCATTGTGAGTTTGTGACCCAGACTTTGTTCATTACTAAGTAATTCTCTAGTTTGTAATTGACATCATTTAGAAAATCAGTGTCATAATAAATGACTACCACTTTTACTTGTGATATTTCCTTCGTCAGGATAATGTGTTCTTTTGTAAGTGCTATATAGGATACAAGGGCACTTGAGACCATTTTTACAAATGCTACACAGACTTTGTTCCTGTCCATCTCCCCTGTCACATCTAGGAGAAACTGATGACCTTTCTGACCTTCCATAATGACCAGGCCTACCCAAGTCCATCTGAAATGAAGCATCAAGGAGACCATAGCAAGGGCCAACGATGTTTCCTTCGGGGCTACCTGATAGACAGAAGGAAATTGTCCATTGTCTCTTAGCATAGGATCGAAAGAACAAAATGTAACCTAAAAGGAAAGAAAATTGAAATGCATAAAAAGAAGATTGTGATATAAACAACACCCCATGCCTGGAGAATAATGAGTTAAAGAAAGAAAGGGTAGGAGGAGATGTTATTCATCCTATCTCATTTTGTAAGTTGATTCTGACAACAGATGATCATACATATTTTCTTAGGAAATGTTTTTCTTTTCTTCTCTCCTTGTTTTTTGCTGTACACAAGGAAATTGAGAGAAAACCACCAACACTCTGCATTCTCAAGTCTTCAAATCAAACACTTGTAAGGATAAGCTTTAGCTAGGATCCTACTTCTGCCCTGTTCAGGTGTCTCATAATATCATAAACATAGACATGGTTTGATGGTTCCTCATCTCACTAGTCCTCACCTGTGGAAACTTGAAGAGCTCCAGCAGGGTTCCAATTTGAATAGATGTTGCCCACGATGCTCCTGTTAGCACTGCTGTAGATTTTTTCCTTTTCCCACAGGAGTAATTAGGAATCTCATTCTGTCCTGTGAGCAAAACCAGAGAGTTCTCCAGCATCCTCCAGTGACTATAAATGAAATTGTGGAACTCATATCCCAGAGATATGTTGGGTAAAAGATGAGGATTCTTGTTGATCTCTTCTATGGCAAATAGGAAGGCTAGAACATTCTGGTAGCTGTTGGGCATATGCCTGCATAGAGATTACAGAGGTCTTTATGATAAAAACTTATAGTTACATTACAAAGCAGTACACTAGCCTGTGTTCCTCTCTCATATTCATGTTATAGGAACTCAGGTATAAATGGGACATTGCTAGTGTTTTGTTCTGGGTTAAATTGTGGAGGACCACTTGAGCAGCTCTCTTTGAAAGAAGAGCAACTGTCTCTGTTTTGACTGAGCCTCATCTTATTTCCTTGTGTTGATATGGACAGAGCTGGCTAAGACTTGTTTATCCTTTCAATTGGCCATAAGCAATGTATATTGATCTAGCTGAGGTGCTGGTGATAGTCTTTGAAGGTGCCATGTGTATTTCCCTAGTAACCTATACCTGATGCTCTTTAATGTGAGCCAGGTTGAGACAAGATGAAGAGCCAATGCTCTGTGCTGCCAGCTGGAATTGAGCTTCAAGCCAGAGGCTATGACTCCTTGAGCCAGGAAATAGAATATCAAAGCTGAAGCACCAGAGCCCCCAAAATATCAGATACCATCTCAATAGCATAAAACAGATTACTTTCTCTGCATATCCTCTCTGCATACTGCAGAGGTACATGTAGGTCACACACCTAACTCAACTCACAGCAGTCACCTACTTCCTACAATTCTCAGTCATTCCTCCTCTAGCTATTCCTCCACTGAAAAAAACCAGGTGAGGCCCAGGGTCAGTCTCTTTGTCCCTGGAAAGACATCTTCGTTATGGGACTTAGGGCCCGTTGGCTCGTCAATATTATAAATATGTTTTACTGTCTTCACTATTGCCATGGGTTGCACTGGGAGTGGTACATAGGGATTAACTTGGTGGGATTCCAATAATATATCTTTGGGATGCCTAATATTAACTTCTTTGTTTGAGACTAAATCAAGAAAGGGACTCCTACATTAAATGAGAATTTAGGGTTAGATGAGAGTTTGACGGTAGTCTTTTCATGACTAAGACCAGTGCCTCAGAAGATTTTGGGACAGTTGCTTCACTGTCCTATTATGTTAGTACTTATTGGCCAGATGGTCACTGATAAATAGAAAGCTAATTCTTTTCATTCTTTGTGTCAAGACTATTAAATATTGATAATTATTATATTAAACACAAAGTCAGGCCCAATTCCTCATCAGATTAATACTCCTGAAAGCAAGGGTCAGGGGTTCAATCCACAGGCCTGCCCGGCTAGCCTCCCCCCAAGGGGGCACTCTGAGACAGCAATTGAGACTGGACATGTGACAGACACCTGTAATCCCAGCTCTTGTGAGGCTGTAAACAGGAGGAGCACTACTAGTCCAATCTAGTAGTGAGACCCTGAACACCCTGTAGACCCTTTCTTAAAACACAATGAAATAATTAACCATTATATTAAACACAATGTTGGTTTTCTATTTTTGTGCAGCAGGCAGATTTACCCAATATCTTAACTAATATTAAACAACCTGGAAATTAATTCTGTCTTAGGAATAACTGGCCTCCATAAACCCTTGATCTTATAGTTAAACAACACGCAATATAAATGAATGACCATTTTGTATCTGTGTATTCAAAATAGTTAGGTTTGGAGGCATTGGTGGTATAATAGTGAGCATAGTCGCCTTTCAAACTAGTTATGTTAGATATGCATCTGCATTTTCTTGATTCAATGAATACAGAGATTTATTCTAATACTGTTTGTGGACAGAATATTATGTCTGCATCTTGTACAATGAATAACCACTAAGACCAAGACAACCATATGCAATATATTAATTTAATTTGAAACTGTCTCATTGCTATTTATCCCTCAATAAAATAATTTTTAAAAAAGAAAATAATGTTATATGAAACATCTCTGACACATCAAGAAACACATCTGTGGGAACATATGGTACCAGCAGCAAAAGGTTGAAATTGAGTCACCTAGGATGCTTCCTCATCAGTTATGCATCTGCAATTCTAAGCAAGATCAAGGCAGAAGGCGTAATAATTCTGGACTTAAATTTTACTACAAGACTAGTGATAAAAACAACTCAAAATTGGCAAAAACAGACTTGCAGAATAATGAAAAGGAAGATCCAGAAACAACTCCAGTCACACTCAGGCAAGTTATCTCAAACAGGGACTAAATCTCTTTACTGCATGAAAGATAGTTATTCTAATAAGGGATGCTGAGAAAATGGACTATATAGATGCTATACATGAAACTATATCACTATTTCTCAACATGTTTTAAACTATAATGAAAACGGATCAAAGAACTCAACACTAGAAGAACAATCTCCTGCAACACAGAATAGGTAAAATGCTTAAAGACACAGGTATGGGCAAAATTAACTGAGCAAAACCACAGTTGCACAAGCAATATTACAAACAAAGAACAATGTCTGCTTATTAATCAGTACATAGGATATTTAATTTCATATGTACTTAGTAGATAAAAAATACGATGATGGAAAAAATAAAAAGAAAGTGGGATGGAGAAGAAATATACTAGAGAAGTGTTATGTATGTGTATGAATGTATGTGTAAACAATAAATATAGCAAGCATGTGCACTTAAAATTAAACATGAAAAAATTCTTTTTGATTGAGTTTCTTCATAATTTTATTGAGAAATAAATAGCAATACGACAGTTTCAAATCAAACTGGTAGCACACTTCCAATAATTAACACATTGCATACTTCCTTTATACTGGTTGTTTGTAGTACAAGATGCACAAATGATATCCTCTCTACAAACATTATTAGAACAAATCCCTCTATTCCTTGAATTAAGAGAGTATAGCTATGTATCTATCCTAACCATTTTGAAAACACTGACACAAAAAGAACATTCATCTATATCCCCTTATTCTGTTTCTTTCAAGAGTCCAGTAGTCCATAATAGTATTGGGTCTTCCACTTGACTGGCAATGTCACAAGGTGTTAACCTCAGTCCCCTACAGCTCAACATAACAACATAGTTTTATTTCTTGTACATAGTTTTTATACTTTTCTGCTGGATCTTTAAGAACAAGATAAAGCAAGACCAATGTAACATGAATTGTAGCTCTTGGATCTCATAAGGTTAGTCAAATCCCCTCAGGATTTATCCTGAGATTATGTACCTCAGATTGTACATCCTTTGACAGTGCCAGCGATGGGGAAGAGTCATAGCCATTGCTTGTCCAATGTGCTCTCTGTGAAAGAATGTTTTCACTCCATGGGACTCACCTTAGGCACACTCTACATCATCAATTACTTTTCTCTTTGGCCTCATAACGTCCTTGATCTGAAAATTTGGGACACAACTGAGTAACATGATGCTACAGTACAAGTTCTCATGTGTCCTGAGTCTAAACTAAATTTCGAAGGCTAAGACCAATATCTTGGCTTTACGTGTGGGCCTCCTTTTTCTCTAATATTTGGTATGCAAACTTGGGTTGTTAACCCTTCAGAAGACAAGCTCATTGTTACTGCCATAAACCGAGAGTGTTGAGATTAAACCTTATGTTTGTCTGAGTATCAAATATCTTAGTTATATCATGGAACAGGTATTTTTCATCAAGTATTAACAAGTTAAAATTTAATTCCCTACACACTGTTACAAAAATATTAAAATATATTTAAAAAATAAGAATAAAGAATTATGTATGTTTACACATAATTACAGAAATCTAACCATATACAATATTGTTGCCAAACAGTCCCACAACACTACTTTTCCTGTCTCCTGCCTTCTTTCACTATCCGCTTCCTTTTTAAACAATCATCAACACAAGAGATAGCATGGCAGCAACTGAGATGTCATGACAATGAGCATGTATTCAAAAGATGAAAATGACAGGCACTCCAAGCATGAACCTACTGATACAAATTGCCATCTTCAGTGCAGTTGCTTAGTTCATAGGTGTCAGTACATATAGTTAGTCAGGGTGAGAATCTTTCCAATTAACTACTAGATTTGAAAATCTTCTGATTATTCTCAGGATCATTGCTTTACCCATTTTCTACGTGTAACTTTATGGCTAACATGTCATGTTTCCTAACTCTTCTCCTTGCTCACTTTTCATTGCCTAGTCCTCAAGAACTTGCTTTTCATTAAGCTGTATTATAACTTTCTATTTGTATTTCATCTTTTGAATTCTTATACTAGGAAAACTATATGATATTTACACATATGTGTATGGTTTATTTCACTTATGAGTATGTCTTCCACTGACATCCACTTCAATATAAAGTTTCAAGTTTATCATTCTTTATAGCTGAATAATACTCCACTGTATAAAAATACCACATCTTTTCCATCTACTCCTCAGGTGATGGGCATCTTGGTTGTTTCCAAGATTTGGCTATCACAAATTGTGCTGCTATAAACATAGGCATACATATATCCCTATGACATGATGCTTTCAGATACTCTGGAAACATTCCCAGTAGAGCAATAGCTAGTTTAAATGGGATTTCCAGTCCTAGATTTCAAAGGGCTTTCCACACTGACTTCCATAATGGTGGCATGTCTACATTCCCACTAGCAGTCGAGAAGGGTTCCTTTCTCCCCATAGCCTCTCCAACATTTGTTGTTGGGTTGATTTCTTTATGATAGCCATTCTTTCTGAGGAGAGATATTTCAAAGTTGTTTTGATTCACATTTCCCTGATGGCGAGTAATGTGGAGCACTTGTTCATCTATTTATTTGCTTGCTTAATTTCATCCTCTGAGAAGTGTGTTTTCATCTCAGATGCCCATTTCGGACTGGGTCTTTAAATTTTGGGGCTGTAGTGTTCTTTAGTTGTTTATAAATTCTAGAAAGCAAACCTTTGTCTGAGAACTTGTCAAGAATTTTTCCAAATTTGTGGGTTGTCTTTTCACATTGTTGGTAAGTTCTTTGACATGGAAAAACTTCTCAATAAGAAGAGGTCCCACTTGTTAATTCTTTGAAGTGCTTCCCTTGTGATTTGATTTTTGTTCATGAAATCTTTACCTACCCCTATGTTTATAAGAGTTCCTTCTACTCCTCCTTCTCTTCCCGGAGAATTAGTGTTTCTGTTTTAATGTTTAGATCTCTAATCCATTTTGACTTTAGCTTAGTACATGATGATAGACATGGCTCACGTTTTAGCCTTCGGGTTTTTGAGAGCAAGTTTTTCCAGCACCATTTGTCAAAGTAGCTATCTTTCTTCCAATGAGTATGTTTGGCACCTTTGTCAAAGACGAGGTGGCTTCAGTGTCTTCTAATCTATTCCTTTGACCCTCAGGTCTATTTCTTTGCCAGTATGATGCTAATTTTATCACAGTAGTGTTGTACTATAATTTCAAGTCTTGAATTGTAATGCCTACTGCGTTGTCTTTGTCAGCGAGGATTGCCTTTACTATTCTAGGTTTTTTCTGGTTCCAAATAAAATTTGGGAATGATTTCTCTACCTCTCTGAGGTATGTTAGTGTTAGTTTGATAGGGACTGGATTAAATCTGTATAGAAATTTGAGGAGTATGGCCATCTTCACGATGATGGTTCTTCCCATTCAGGAGCATGGAATATATTTCCATTTTATGAAATACTATACAATCACTTTTTTGACAGTACTGTAATTCTCTTTGAAAGGTCTTTGACTTCTTTAGTTAGATTAATTCCAAGGTATTTCATTCCTCTCGGTGCTATGGTAAAAGGTATGATTTCTATAATTTCCCTCTGAGTGTGTTTGTTGTCTGTGTAGAGGAATGCTATTGACTTTTGGGTATTGACTTTATCCTGCTATGCTACTGAATTTCTGCATTACTTCTCGTAGCTTCTTGGTGGAGTTTTTTTGGTATTCCAACTAAAGTATCATGTCATCTGCAAATAAAGATAATTTAACTTCTTCTTTACCTATTCTCATTCTTTTTATTTCTTTCTCTTGGCTAATAGCTTTAGCCAATGATTCCAAAACTATATTGAATAGGAGGGGTGATAGAGGACATTCTTGTCTTGTACTAGATCAAAGAGTAAAGATTTCAGTTTTTCCCCATTTAAAAATATGGTAGGTGTTGGGTTTTCATAAATGGCTTTTACCAGATTGAGTAGAACCCATCTATTCCAATTTTCTGTAGAACTTCGAATATGAATCAGTATTGGACTTTTTCAAAAGCCTCTTCTGTATCAATTGAGATGATCATGTGGATTTCAATTTTTGCTCTAATGATATAGTGTATTACATTTATAGATTTTCGAATATTGAACCATTGTTACATTCCTATGATGAATCCCACCTGGTAATGGTGTATGATCTTCTTGATGATTTGCTGTATTATATTTGCTAGAATTTTTTTAAGAATTTTTGCATCTATGTTGATGAGGGAGATTGGCCTGCTGTTCTCTTTCTTAGTTGTATCTTTCCATTGTTTTGTTATGAGTACAATACTTGCCTCCAGGAATGACTTTCAGAGGAATAATACCTTTTCCATTTCATTGAAGAGTTTGAGGAGTACAGGGATGACATCTTCTGTAAATTTCTTGTAGAATTCAACTGTGACTCTATCAGGAGCAGGAATTTTCTTTGTCGGTAGGTTTCTTATTACACCTCATACTTCATTGGCTGTTATTGTGCTATTGAACGTGGTTATATCTTGTCCTTTCAGTTTTTGCAATTTGTACATTTCTAGGAATCTGTCCATTTCTTCTATGTCTTCTATTCTGTGAGAGTAAAGACTCTCAAAGTAGCTATTAATAATCTGAATTTTTACTGGGTCTGTGTTCATTATACACCTTTCATTCCTTATTACTTGTATTTGAATTTTTTTCTTTCCTCTTTTTGATGCGGTTAGCTAGGGGCTTATCAATTTTATTTAATCTTTCAAAGAATCAGCTTTTCATTAGTTAATACTTTGAGCTGTTTTCCTCATCACAAATGAATTAATTTCTGCTCTAATCTTTATGATTTCTTCCTGACTTTGGGTCTGGGTTAGTTTTGTACTTCCTTTTGTAGTTGTTGGAGGTGCAGCATTAGGATGTTTATTTGTTCTCGTTCTCTTTCCTAATATGTGAGGCCACAGATATTTTTTTAAGGTTTATTTATTTGTGCATGTGTGTGTGTGTGTGTGGCCAGCTCAGCCCACCAGGGGGCGGGGCTGGCTGGCATGTGGTGCTGGGGGATTGAACCGCGGTCCCTGAGCTTTGCTAAGCTTGTTCTACATAGGTGCTTTAGACCACTGAGCCATCTCACCAGCCCCAGGCCACAGATATTAACTTCCCTCTGAGAACTGCTTTCATCGTATCCCACAAATTCCGTAAGTTTTGCTTAAATTTTCATTGATTTGTAGATATTGATTAATTTCTTCTTTAATATCATCTGTGACTCATTGATTTCTGATTAGAGTGCTGTTTAATTTCCATGTATTTAGAGTTTTTCTGGTTTCTTTTGTCATTTATTACCAGGTTCGTTGAACTGTCATCAGATAATATGCATGGGAAAATTTTTGTTTTCTTGCATATACTTAAGCATGACCTAGGGACCAGTATGTGGTCTATTTTACAAAATGACCTATGTGCAGCTGAGAAAAATGAGTATTCAGCATACATATATATGAGTGTTACCTCTTCCTCTTGAACTTTTTCCCTAACCACTATATAGTGGCCTTCTTTATGTCGCTTGATCATTGTTGGTTTGAAATTGAGACTGTCTGACAATAGGATTACTACCCCTGCATTTTTCTGAGGTGCTGGGGCATGTAGTATTGTTTCCCATCCTTTGATACTCAGCCTATGAAGGCCTTTATTAGTTAAATGTGTTTCTTGTATATAGCATATTGTTGGTTTATGTTTCCTAATCCAATTGGCAGTCTACTTCTCTTAATTGGTGAATGGAGTCCATTTACATTGATTGTTATATTTGACAGGTATTGACTTACGATTGATATGTTATTTTCCTGTTGATGTTTACTCCTTTTTGTCTTGTACTCAACTGTTGTCCTCTTTATTTGCTTGTCTCTCACCTCATTTGTGGAGTTCTGATCATTTTGGTCCCTTCTGGAACATCTTTCAGTAGCCTGTGTAGGGTTGGCTTTGTCATCATGAAATTCTTTAGTTGTTCTTGGTAATGGAAGTATTTCACTTCTCCATCAAAATTGAAAGAGAGTTTTGCAGGGTATAGTGGTCTGGACTTGAATTTTTTCGTAGAACACTTAAAGTACTCAGCTCCATGTTCTTACCTTCATGGTTTGTGAAGAGAAGACGACTGAAATTCTGAGAGGTTTTCCTTTGAATGTGATCTTCTTCTTTTCTCTAGCGGTTTTCAGTATATTATTGTTTTGCTAGATTTGTGGGTCCTTGACTATTATATGTCTTGATGAGTTTTTAATTGGGTTGAGGTTACTTGGTGTTCTGCATGCTTCAGTTATCTGAATGTCAGATTGTTTTCTCATATTTGGGAAGTTTTCTGCTATTACTTCTGCCCATTTTTTTAATGTCATTTGTATTGACACCTACTTTCTCATTGATACCAATTAGTCTCACATTGTTCATCTATGCATTGTCTTGCAAGTGATAAATTATTTTTTCCTGCATCCAAGTTGTTTTTAAGAGATCCTTTCTTATCTTTTCACTAGCTGGACCAGCACCTTCAAGATCTGAAACTCTGACTTCACTTTCACTCAAACAGGCTTGCAAGCTTGTGATTGAAACTTTAAATTCTGCTATACATCTTTAACTCTTCTTCATGTGATCCAATTCCTTCCTGTATTGCTCATTCAAGAAATCCGTCATTTTGGGCTGGTGAGATGGCTCATTGGTCTAAAGCACCTACTTAGAACAAGCTTGGCAAAGCACAGGGACCGTGGTTCAATCCCCCAGCACCACATGCCAGCCAGCCCCGCCCCCTGGTGGGCTGAGCTGGACACGCACGCACACACACACGCATAAATAAATAAATAAATAATTTTTTTTAAAAAGGAAGAAAGAAATCCATCATTTTTCTAATCTCCTCTATTTTTTATGGATATCTTCTTTAGAAGCAGTTACTACTGCTTTAACTACAGAGTATTTTTCAGATTGGATTTCAGCCCTATGTTTCTGTATTTGATTCTTTACTTGAGATGCTATGAGTTCAGTGAATTCTTTTTTTATTTAAGAAAAGAATTTTGGTCTCATTTGCTCAATAACTGTCTGCTGTTGCTTATTTACTTTCGATGCTATGAATTCATACATTTGAGCTGAGCTAGTGTCCTCTGCAGTTGTTCTGGGTGGGCATTGGGTTTCCTCCATATGTTTCCGCATTTGATTCTTTACTAGAGTTGCTATTAACTCAGGGATTTCTTTTTTCATTTCCAATCTGTTTTCTTCTATACCTTTCAGCAGTCATTTCTTTATTTCAAAAGTTGTCGATTCATTTATTTCAGCTGTGTGGTTCCCAATTTGTTCTGTTAGTGCCCTCTGCACTAGTTATGTGTGGGCTTGGGGAATGAGATTGCATTTGTCTCCTTCTCTTTGTAATTTTGTGTAGCACTATCTTCTGAAGTTTGTTGTTTAGCTTTGGTGCAGTTATAACCTTATCACCTAATTCAGGTACAGATCTACAAAGTTTGGATTTATCCTGATGTGCCTGCCTTGGGTCTGGCTGCTGCACTCATCTCCTTCCTGCTGCTGCCCTTGGGAGTGAACCTGTTGTGCCCCTCTGACAATATGTTCTCCTCCTGGACTAGCTGGGTGGTTCTGTCACCTACTCTCTCTGCAGGGACTACAGCTGCAGAGTTTCACCCCAGACCAGTATACCAGGCCTAAGCTGAGTCTGAAGTGGTCAAGGTGGAATAAAGGGGAGAGGAAGCTCTCCCACAAACTTACTTGACCTGGGATAGGGCTCGATCTGTGGATTCCAAAAACATTGCAGAAGTTCTCACTCACAAGGCAGAAGGGGGGGGGGTACTGCGGAGTGATGGGAGTGGTATTGCAATGGGGTCAAAGAGGGTCTCACCCAAGCTGCTCCTGGGCTTGGACCTGACCGTCATGCTTGTGAACTGTAGCTGGAAGTTCTCCAACACATTCACTGGGCCTGGGCTTGGGCTGGAATTGGGGGTCCCGAGAATGGTGCAGAAGTTCTCACTCAGTGGGTGTAGGAAGAAGAGAGGACTTTGAAGTGATGAAGGAGTTCCAAAGGGGATGGAAGAAGGTCTCAACCACGCTGCTCCTGGGCTTGGACAGGACCGGTCCCGCCGGGGCAAGGCAGCCAGACTCCTTTTGGATTTTGATTTTGAATATATAATTTAGAAAATTACTAAGTGACTGAAGTTAAAAAATTGAAACTTTAATTATACAAACATAGCTACTGTGCTCAACAAAGTAGAAAGAGAATGTCCAATGTGATCTTAGCCTAAGTGCTTGGAAGATAGCTCAGCAGTATAAGCGCCTGCCTGGCACAACCAAGTTCCCAAGTTTGATCCCTGGTGTCACCAAAAAAAAAAAAAAAAAAAAAAAAGCTAAGTCTAAGTGAATTTCCAGGTCACTTCTAAAATAACATAATAGAATTTGGTCGTGGTGGTACATACCTCTAATCCTAGCTCAGGATCAGGTGGTGAAGGAGACCAATTGCAAATTCAAATCAGCTTGGACAGCTTAATACTCAGCATGTCTCTGTCTCAAAATTTAAACAATTAAATCAGGATAATGATCTAGCTCAGCACAAACGCCTGATTTTCAATGCCCGCTCCTGAAAAAATATGCACTCCTCTAATTCCTTAATGGAAAGTGGATACATGAAATACAATATATGTTTTATGTAGAATTCACATGAGGTAGCTGTAACTAGTCAAAAAGTTTTTGAACAAAGAATTGTTCCAACTGCAGGTGACGTAGCTCAGTGGTGCATCACCTGCCTGCAAAAAGTAAAGTCCTGTCTTCCATTCCCTGTATCTGACAAAAGACAGAGAGAGACACAGACAGAGAGAACGAGCTAGCACACACACACACATACATACAGACAGACAGACAGACACACACACACACACACACACACACACACACACACTGACAGACAGACCAAGACAGACAAACAGAGAAATAGCCAGAGACAGACAAACAGAAAGACTGAGACCAAGAGACCAAGAGAGGAAAGTATTCCAAATACTGCACTAAAAATATTCATACTTTTAAAAATCCTCAAATTTCTGCAAGAAGAAAAACATTATGCTTATTCGAGTACAGACAGGATGACGGGGTTTGATACTACCAGGCAACTAATATGAAATATTAACATCAATATTATTATTTGAATGAAACTGAAACAAAATGTAGGGTTTTTTTACTTTTTATATCCATATGAAACAAGACAAGAGATATAAGATATTTTACCCTGTCTGACTTGATCACTGGATAATGTACACGTAGCACTACATCCCAGAAAAGTACAAAATTAGTATTTGATAACTAAAGAAGAAACAAGATAAAACAAAACAAAATGTAAATCCTTTGAATTCATGAACTTTGGTCTCACTTAAAGTATCAACAAGTCATAAGGAGAAGTGGTTGGGGGGAGTGTGCACAAGTTCACTCTCCTTCCTGGGGAGCATTGTACAGGAAAAATTGCCTCACATTCATACACATACTGTGATAAGAAAACTAGTGGAAGCCTTCCAATTGATGAGGTGTGATCTCTTTACATATTGTGGGATGGAGCTTCATTTGTGATATATTCAAGTGTATGTTATTATACTCATTTTTTCTGGTTAGAGGATAAGAAACCAATGAAGAGTTTCCTTGATGGGTCCACGACAATCCGAAACACAAGGTTCCAGTCCTGTTCTCCAGTGCAGTCTTGTATAGCACTAACTTATGCTAGCAGCAATATGTGTTATTGTACCCAGAACACCATCTACCAGGATAGCTTCCCTTACCTCTGTGTCCAGAGGGTTTTACCGTTTTGTTGGCAGTGGTTGTGGTTGTGGTTGTGGCAGTTTTGGGAACCTTGGTTGTACAGACCTTTGGATTAAATACACAACACACACAAGTTTCTCCTGAGCTGGCAGAAAAATATTGAACCTTCAGCATTTGCATATTGATTACTTTTTTTGTTGTTGTTAGTATGTTTTTTTAATATTCTTAAGCATCTGCATACAAAGAGCATTTTGAATAAAAGAAGGATAAAAGCAACATTTCTGTCATCATCAGATTCACTTAGTATCATTCTATAGAGTTTTGAAACTATAAAATAAATATTCAAAAGAATATCAAGGAAAAAGCAATTGTCTGGAAAAACAAACACTGACATTAAATAGGAGAGAGTATTGTTCACTCTAAAAGTATATATAAAAAATTAGAAAAATCAATACCATGACCAAAAGGTGTGAGACCCAAACTAAAGTGTGAATATGCGAGAATTGTCAAATCGCCAATGTAAGATTGCTAACTTAAAGATTTTGGTGAACATGTATATAGCATAATAGCAATTAATAAACTGTATGATGCTCTTATGAAATAGGAAAAAATGCTAAGATTGAAAGAGGAACAAAGGAGGAGCAAGGGTGAGACAAAGGGAAGGAAAAGGGAAGAAAGAGAATATAAGAAAAATGGAGAAAAATCTTTTGCAACTGAGGGGGACAGAGTGGAAGGGAAGGCAGGGAAATGGTAAAAAGAAAAAAACAAAACGTACTTTAAAGACTTCTCCAAATATAACTTCTCTAACAGCAATGGAACACTCATCTCTGACAAAAGAAAACCAAAAGGGGGATATAAATAAAGGACTGTTTTGTAGTGAAAAAAATATGTATGTATATGCAACATAGTTAGGAAGGATATACAGCTACTCTGTCTTAGTACAATGAGAAGAACGGTTTGTACTAATGTTTGGACAAGATTTCATGTCTGCATCTTTTTCTCGGAATAACTCCTACAAAGACAACAATATGCAACGTATTAATTATTCTAAACATCCTACTAAGCTGTTTTGAAACTGTTTCATTGACATTTTATCTTTTTTTCTCATTAAAATGAATAACAATTTTTTTTAAAATATCGTGGACAGGTACAAATTGCTATGATGTATGTGATCATCATGTGTATCTATAATATAACAATAAAATTAATTTTAAAAAGGTAACATAGAATATGTAACAAAAGCATAATGTTCTAGTGAGGACATAAAAGCATTAACGAAAATATGTCACACTGAACACCCTCAAAGTTCTGTTGTAATTGCCATGATTATAATTAAAAATAGAAAGAGTTTATCTTATGACAAAACCATAGACTATAAAAATTAATACTTTTAAGGGCCAGTTAGATAGCTCAGCAGACTAAGCAACTGCTATGGAAGACTCAGGGTCCATATTCCATCACAGTCCAACATGCTACACGGGCCCTGCTCCTGGAGTGTACTAAGCCCACGATTAAGTCTGGGAGTAGTAGCACATTCCTGCAATCCCAGCACTGGGGAGGGTGACAACAGAAGGAGCACTATGGGTCTGAGCTGTGCATTGAGACTCTGAAAAAGTACATAAAAATAAAATAAAAGAATGAATCACTTTTAGAAGTGATTCAGAGGAATCATAAAGACAGAGTTTGGAAAAAATAAACAGTAAAATTATATGGAAAATAGAGAAATAGTAATGCAACAAAATGGGAATAAAAGAGAAATAAACTATGTGGAGTTTATTATTAATTTACATATGGATGTACATCTATGCTGCTTATATCACAGATTTCATACTGCAAATTGCAAATAAATGTGATCATCATGTGTATCTCCATAAAAATAAAATTAAATGATTTTATTTTTATGGAGAAGAATTTTGAAAAATATAACCGTATTCACTGCTAAATAAACGGAAGAGGTACTAAATAATTTTTGAATTAATATATACTTATTTATACAGTTATATATTGGGATGCCTAGTAAAGAGAACAGAGATGCAAAAGATGAGTAAATTTTCTGCTACTCTTCAAAATAAAATTAAAAATAAAGTTTTGTGTTTATTCCAGCTTAAAAAGGATACAGTTTATGGAAATTATTCACATGCGCTAGTGAATCTTATTAAAAATATAGCATACAGTCAACCAACTTAATCTTTACTAAATATGCAAAATATTATTAGAAGTAATGGAAAGCTTATACTAAGGAACACAAATTATGAAGAATAAGCCATCAAATAAAATATTTTTAAGGAATACATGAAATATAATCACTCCAATTATCAAAAATAATGCAAATATAGCAACATCATATCAATTGCAAGCATCAAGTTCGGGCACTCGATTGAGATACAGATTAAGGAAAAAATATTCCCCTGAATGACAGCAAAAGTGTCCATTTTTATGATTCTAGATGGCTGTCTGATAATGAAAATAAAAGTATTTTCAAATATAGCTTTAGGCCCCAGTAATTTCATTCTCAGAATTCACTTGCGTTAGTCAGAAATCATGCATCTGTGTATTTGGGTACTGAAGTCTAAAATCACGCAAACATCTATTTATTAACTTTCTTATTACCGGGACATGAGATAAGAAATATATTAGAAATTGAGGAAGTTTCCAACCATGGTAAGAGGTGAACTTTCCAACTTTACATGATATGATTTCTTTTCAAAGATAATGATTAAACATTATTAAATATTTATTGATGAGAATGTATACTTGACAATCAATTTTAGTATGCTTTTTATCACCATCTATTACTTTTATTTATCACTCACCATTTAAAGAATTTCAAACATATTTTCTTTTTTTAAATTTTATTGAAAAACAAATAGCAATGAGACAGTTTGCAAAATGATTAGTAGGATAGTTTCAATAATTAATAGATTGAAATTGTTGTCTTAGTAGTGGTTATTCATAGTAGAAGAGGCAGACATGATATCCTGCCCAAATACTCTTAGTACAAATCTATCTTCTCAATGAATTAAGAGAAACTAGCTGTGTATCGATCCTATCTTGTATATAAAGATACAAAAATGTCCTTCATTTGTATCCACTTTTTCTGCTTAGTTTTGTCACAGAGGCATATGCAATTGCCATTTCA